TCCCATTAAAAATGCAAAAAAAAATCCAAAAAAATTGCATAAAAAATAAAAAAAAAATTCGATTTTTTTGGGTAGATAAAGGTGAGGATTTGGGGATTTTAGACCCAAAAAATGAGAAAAAAATCAGAAAATTTCAAATTTCTGAAAAATTAAAAAAAATCCCACAAAAATCCCATTAAAAATGCAAAAAAAAATCCAAAAAATTCCCATAAAAATAAAAAAAATTCGATTTTTTGGGGTAGATAAAGGTGAGGATTTGGGGCTTTTAGACCCAAAAAAATTAAAAAATCAGAAAATTTCAAATTTCTGAAAAATTAAAAAAAATCCCATAAAAATCCCATTAAAAATGCCCAAAAAATAAAAAAAAATTGCATAAAAAATTTTAAAAAAATTCGATTTTTTTGGGATTTTTTGGGGTAGATAAAGGTGAGGATTTGGGGGATTTTAGACCCAAAAAATGAGAAAAAAATCAGAAAATTTCAAATTCCTGCAAAAATAAAAAAAAAAACCAAAAAAATCCCACAAAAAATAAAAAAAATAAAAAATAAAAATAAAAATAAAAATAAAAATAAAAATAATTTCTAAAAATTCGATTTTTGGGGTAGATAAAGGTGAGGATTTGGGGATTTTTAGACCCAAAAAATGAGAAAAAAATCAAAAAATTTCAAATTTCTGAAAAATAAAAAAAATCCCATAAAAATCCCATTAAAAATGCAAAAAAAAAATCCAAAAAAGTCCCATAAAAATAAAAAAAAATTCGATTTTTGGGGTAGTCAAGGGTGAGGATTTGGGGATTTTTCACCCCAAAAATAATCCTAAAAAAATCCCAAAATCCAAAAATCCCAAATTACTGAAAAATAAAAAAAAAACCATAAAAAACCCATAAAAATTTTTAAAAAAATTAAAAAAAAAATTAAAAAAAAAATTTAAAAATCGGATTTTTTATGGTAGATAAAGGTGAGGATTCCCCTATTAATTCCCCCATTAATTCCCCCATTAATTCCCCCATTAATCCCAATCCCTCATTTATCCAATTATTCCCAATTTTCCTGATTATTTCCCCCATTAATTCCCTCATTAATTCCCCCATTAATCCCAATTCCCCCATTATCCCATTAATCCAAATTTTCCCATTTTTGCCATTATCCCAATTAATCCCAATTATCCCAATTTCCCCATTATCCCAATTTCCCGTTATTCCCATTATTCCCATTAATCCTAATCCCTCATTAATCCCAATTACCCATTATTCCCATTAATCCCAATTCCCCGACTAACCCCATTATTCCAATTAATCCCAATTCCCTCATTAACCCCATTAATCCCATTAATCCCATTAACCCCATTATTCCCAATCCCTCATTAATCCCATTTTTCCCAATTCCCCCATTAACCCCAATAATCCCATTATTCCCAATCCCCCATTATTCCCAATAACCCAAATAATCCCATTAATCCCAATCCCCCATTAACCCCAATAATCCCATTAATCCCAATTCCATCATTAACCCCATTAATCCCAATTACCCATTAATCCCAATAACCCCATTAACCCCATTAATCCCAATTACCCATTGATCCCAATAACCCCATTAACCCCAATCCTTCATTAACCCCATTAATCCAAATTCCCCCATTAACCCCATTAACCCCATTAACCTCATTATTCCCATTAATCCCAATTCCCCCATTAACCCCATTATTCCCAATCCCCCATTAACCCCAATAACCCCATTAACCCCATTAATGCCAATTTCCCATTAATCCCATTAACCCCATCATTCCCAATAACCCCATTAACCCCATTATTCCCATAATCCCCCAGGCTGGGCCGCCTCCATTCCCTTCAATCCCAAAATCCCAATCCCCCATTAATCCCAATAATCCCCCATTAACCCCATTATTCCCAATCCCCCATTAACCCCATTATTCCCATTAATCCCAATTCCCTCATTAACCCCAATTCCCCAATTATTCCCATTAATCCAAATCCCCCATTAACCCCATTATTCCCATTAATCCCAATTCCCTCATTAACCCCATTAATCCCAATAACCCCATTAACCCCATTATTCCCAATCCCTCATTAATCCCATTATTCCCATTAATCCAAATCCCCCATTATTCCCAAATCCCCCATTAACCCCATTATTCCCATTAATCCCAATTCCCTCATTAACCCCATTTATCCCAATAACCCCATTATTCCCATTAACCCCAATTACCCATTAATCCCAATTCCCCATTAACCCCATAAATCCCAATCTTCCCATTAACCCCATTAACCCCAGTGACCCCATTATTCCCATTAATCCAAATCCCCCATTAACCCCATTAACCCCAATTCCCCCATTAACCCCATAAATCCCAATTCCCTCATTAACCCCATTAATCCAAATAACCCCATTATTCCCATTAATCCCAATTCCCCATTAATCCCAATTCCCCCATTAACCCCATTATTCCCAATCCCATTAACCCCATTATTCCCATTATTCCCAATCCCCCATTAATCCCATTATTCCCATTAATCCAAATCCCCCATTAACCCAAATAACCCCATTAATCCCATTAACCCCATCATTCCCAATAACCCCATTAACCCCATCATTCCCAATAATCCCATTAACCCCATCATTCCCAATAACCCCATTAACCCCATTATTCCCATAATCCCCCAGGCTGGGCCGCCTCCATTCGCTTCAATCCCAAAATCCGCGCGGAGCTCGAGCGCTTCCGGAACCGCCCGGACACCTTCAGCCTGGGGGTGTGCAACGGCTGCCAGCTGATGGCGCTGCTGGGCTGGGTGGGGACAGGTGAGTGTCACCTGTGTGTGTCACCTGTGTGTCCCCAAGGTGTCCCTCCCCCCTGGTGACACTCTGGTGACATTCCCGGTGTCACAGGCGATGTCCCTGCCGGTCCGGGGATGTCCCTGGGTGTCCCCAAAAGTGTCCCCAAAAGTGTCCCCACCTTTGTCCCCTTGGGGTTTCCCTTTCGGGGCTGTCCCAGGTGTGTCCCCTGGCTGTCCCCTCCCCCCTGGTGACATCCTGGTGACACTTTGGTGACATCCCGGTGTCACAGGCCATGTCCCTGCGGGTCCGGGGATGTCCCTGGGTGTCCCCAGTTTGTCCCTAAAAGTGTCCCCACCTTTGTCCCCTTGCGGTTTCCCTGTCGGGGCTGTCCCCTCGCTGTCCCCACGTTGTCCCCTCCCCCCTGGTGACACTCTGGTGACACTTTGGTGACATCCCGGTGTCACAGGCGATGTCCCCAAGGGCCTGGCAGTGGCCGTGACGTCCTTGGGGTGTCCCCAAAAGTGTCCCCACCTTTGTCCCCTTTGCGGTTTCCCTTTCGGGGCTGTCCCAGGTGTGTCCCCTGGCTGTCCCCTCCCCCCTGGTGACACTCTGGTGACACTTTGGTGACATTCCCGGTGTCACAGGCGATATCCCTGAGGGTCCGGGGATGTCCCTGGGTGTCCCCAAAAGTGTCCCCACCTTTGTCCCCTTTGGGGTTTCCCTTTCGGGGCTGTCCCAGGTGTGTCCCCTCGCTGTCCCCTCCCCCTCGGTGACACTCTGGTGACACTGTGGTGACATCCCGGTGTCACAGGCGATGTCCCCAAGGGCCTGGCAGTGGCCGTGACATCCTTGGGGTGTCCCTAAAAGTGTCCCCACCTTTATCCCTTTGCGGTTTCCCTTTCGGGGCTGTCCCGGGGCTGTCCCAGGTGTGTCCCCTGGCTGTCCCCTCCCCCTCGGTGACACTCTGGTGACACTCTGGTGACATTCCCGGTGTCACAGGTGATGTCCCTGAGGGTCCGGGGATGTCCCTGGAGTGTCCCCAAAAGTGTCCCCACCTTTGTCCCCTTCGGGTTTTCCCTTTCGGGGCTGTCCCGGGGCTGTCCCAGGTGTGTCCCCACGTTGTCCCCTCGCCCTCGGTGACACTCTGGTGGCACTCTGGTGACACCCCGGTGTGGCAGGCGATGTCCCCAAGGGCCCGGCAGTGGCTGTGACATCCCTGGAGTGTCCCCAAAAGTGTCCCCACCTTTGTCCCCTTTCGGGTTTNAGGTGAGTGTCACCTGTGTGTGTCACCTGTGTGTGTGTCACCTGTGTGTGTGTCACACCTGGCCCCCCGTGGGGACACCTTCAGCCTGGGGGTGTGCAACGGCTGCCAGCTGATGGCGCTGCTGGGCTGGGTGGGGACAGGTGAGTGTCACCTGTGTGTGTCACCTGTGTGTCCCCAAGGTGTCCCTCCCCCCTGGTGACACTCTGGTGACATTCCCGGTGTCACAGGCGATGTCCCTGCCGGTCCGGGGATGTCCCTGGGTGTCCCCAAAAGTGTCCCCAAAAGTGTCCCCACCTTTGTCCCCTTGGGGTTTCCCTTTCGGGGCTGTCCCAGGTGTGTCCCCTGGCTGTCCCCTCCCCCCTGGTGACATCCTGGTGACACTTTGGTGACATCCCGGTGTCACAGGCCATGTCCCTGCGGGTCCGGGGATGTCCCTGGGTGTCCCCAGTTTGTCCCTAAAAGTGTCCCCACCTTTGTCCCCTTGCGGTTTCCCTGTCGGGGCTGTCCCCTCGCTGTCCCCACGTTGTCCCCTCCCCCCTGGTGACACTCTGGTGACACTTTGGTGACATCCCGGTGTCACAGGCGATGTCCCCAAGGGCCTGGCAGTGGCCGTGACGTCCTTGGGGTGTCCCCAAAAGTGTCCCCACCTTTGTCCCCTTTGCGGTTTCCCTTTCGGGGCTGTCCCAGGTGTGTCCCCTGGCTGTCCCCTCCCCCCTGGTGACACTCTGGTGACACTTTGGTGACATTCCCGGTGTCACAGGCGATATCCCTGAGGGTCCGGGGATGTCCCTGGGTGTCCCCAAAAGTGTCCCCACCTTTGTCCCCTTTGGGGTTTCCCTTTCGGGGCTGTCCCAGGTGTGTCCCCTCGCTGTCCCCTCCCCCTCGGTGACACTCTGGTGACACTGTGGTGACATCCCGGTGTCACAGGCGATGTCCCCAAGGGCCTGGCAGTGGCCGTGACATCCTTGGGGTGTCCCTAAAAGTGTCCCCACCTTTATCCCTTTGCGGTTTCCCTTTCGGGGCTGTCCCGGGGCTGTCCCAGGTGTGTCCCCTGGCTGTCCCCTCCCCCTCGGTGACACTCTGGTGACACTCTGGTGACATTCCCGGTGTCACAGGTGATGTCCCTGAGGGTCCGGGGATGTCCCTGGAGTGTCCCCAAAAGTGTCCCCACCTTTGTCCCCTTCGGGTTTTCCCTTTCGGGGCTGTCCCGGGGCTGTCCCAGGTGTGTCCCCACGTTGTCCCCTCGCCCTCGGTGACACTCTGGTGGCACTCTGGTGACACCCCGGTGTGGCAGGCGATGTCCCCAAGGGCCCGGCAGTGGCTGTGACATCCCTGGAGTGTCCCCAAAAGTGTCCCCACCTTTGTCCCCTTTCGGGTTTTCCCTTTCGGGGCTGTCCCGGGGCTGTCCCAGGTGTGTCCCCTCGCTGTCCCCTGGCTGTCCCCTCCTCCTCGGTGACACTCTGGTGACACTCTGGTGACATTCCCGTGTGGCAGGCAGTGGCTGTGACATCCCTGGAGTGTCCCTAAAAGTGTCCCCACCTTTGTCCCCTTTGGGTTTTCCCTTTCGGGGCTGTCCCAGGTGTGTCCCCTGGCTGTCCCCTCCTCCTCGGTGACACTTTGGTGACATCCCGGTGTCACAGGCCATGTCCCTGAGGGTCCGGGGATGTCCCTGAGGTGTCCCCAAAAGTGTCCCCACCTTTGTCCCCTTGGGGTTTCCCTTTCGGGGCTGTCCCAGGTGTGTCCCCTCGCTGTCCCCTCCCCCCTGGTGACACTTTGGTGACACTGTGGTGACATTCCCGTGTGGCAGGCGATGTCCCTGCGGGTCCGGGGATGTCCCTGGGTGTCCCCAAAAGTGTCCCCACCTTTGTCCCCTTGGGGTTTCCCTTTCGGGGCTGTCCCAGGTGTGTCCCCTCGCTGTCCCCTCCCCCCTCGGTGACACTCTGGTGACACCCTGGTGACACTTTGGTGACATCCCGGTGTCACAGGCCATGTCCCTGAGGGTCCGGGGATGTCCCTGAGGTGTCCCTAAAAGTGTCCCCACCTTTGTCCCCTTTGGGGTTTCCCTTTCGGGGCTGTCCCGGGGCTGTCCCAGGTGTGTCCCCTCGCTGTCCCCTCCCCCTCGGTGACACCCTGGTGACACTTTGGTGACATCCCGGTGTGGCAGGCGATGGCCGCGGGGGCCCGGCGGGGGCCGTGGCGCTGGAGCGGAACCTCTCGGGTCGCTTCGAGTCGCGATTCGTCACCGTGCGCGTGGAGCCGGGCCCGGCGATGATGCTGCGGGGGATGGAGGGGGCGCGGCTCGGCGTGTGGGTGGCGCACGGGGAAGGTACTGGGCAAACTGGGAACACTGGGAGGGACTGGGAATACTGGGAGGGGCTGGGGGACACTGGGGGTGACTGGGAGGGACTGGGAGTGAGGGATACTGGGGATACTGGGAGCACTGGGGGATGGAGGGGGCGCGGCTCGGGGTGTGGGTGGCGCACGGGGAAGGTACTGGGCAAACTGGGAACACTGGGAGGGACTGGGAGACACTGGGAGGGACTGGGGGGCACTGGGAGTGAGGGATACTGGGGATACTGGGAGGGACTGGGAACACTGGGAGGGACTGGGGAGCACTGGGAGGGACTGGGAGAGATTGGGAGGGACTGGGAGTGAGGGATACTGGG